GTTAACCTGGGCCTCCACCGATCATCTGGTCCATACGTGCGTCCTGAGATAACTGAGCTGACCAACCACTTGCACCGAAGCCGGCAGGATCCATGTTGGCCAGTTCTTTCTGTTAGGTACCGTTCACACCAGTCAGTGTGCGAACAAGGAAAGAGGCGGACCCAGGTAGCCGACTTCGATGCAAGCAGTGATTTATTATGTACAGTGATGATGAGAAATAACAAAATGCACAGAGACAGCAGGAGGCAAGGAGATGGAGAGCTGGGCCGAGCTGCGTAGGCTGGGTAACTCCTGGGCTGGTCGGTGGTGATGGTGGCTACTGAAGGTAGAGACAGAGAGATGATGACAATAGTAGAACCTATAGGCGACTGAGCATTGACCTGCCTGGGAGGGGAGAGTGGAGCCACGGTCCGGAGGAACAGTCCAAGGGGAGAACACAAAACAGTAGCTGGCTAGGGGAGAAATACATACAAAACAATGAAAACGCACGGAGTAAAGTTGGCCTAGTGACTAGAACTGGCAAGTGACTGAGGAGTGAAACTGGGTAATATAGTGAGCAACCTAATCAAGTGCAGCTGGTGATAAGGGAGTGAGGAACAGGTGAACGTGATTAGTGTTAATGGGCAAGAGACAGTAGGAAAGGTGAGGAAGGCCAGAGCGGCCGAGCAAACCTGACAGATAGATGTTTAAAGTCAACAGTACAGATAACAATGATACTGTTCACTTCTCTTTTAAACAAGTTTGGTTTCTTTAAGACCTGTTTCTTGCCTCTTACTGTGTTCTCACATCTCAGTGTTGTGCTTCAGTTAATAAAATGAGTTTGTGTCTGAGTTTTCTTGCAGCTAATCAGTCATGAATTCTTGCATGCCTTTCAGTCTAAAGGTCTTTCTTTTTCATATGAAATTTTAACCATATACTGTAAGAAAAATACTTTTGTGAATTAGGATTCTGCTCTGATATCTGGGAAGATGATGATTAGATGTTACTTATGCCAAGATAAACTACAGCTGGTTAATATTCTTCCTGTGGACTAAATGTAGTGGTTAACCTGGACCAGGTATGACTCAAATTACTCAGGTGACATAAACCCTGAAAGCCACAGCTACACTCAATATGTACTGCAGAGAGAGTGCGATGCACCTGCTCTCTGTCTGCAGGATATCATGTGCGAGTGGACAGGCAGGATTAAACAGTGTCTTGAGAATATTAGTCTAATCTCACAACAGCAGGACTGCACGTATGTGCCCATTCAAACAGACAACCACACTCACATGTATCCTATTTTAAAATGCGCTAACAATGCTCAACACTCCCGGATACCACAGCATCTGTTTCCCAAAGCGATTATGTGGCAGTGGCCAAAGTCTATTTTTAAAGACTCATTCTCCTCTTTCTCCTTCTGTCCCCATCCCCTCCTTTCTCCTACACCTGTATGCCCTTCTCTTCATCACTCTATTTCATTCTCCAGCTATATTTTCACCTACAGTAATGACGTTTCCGTCACCCCAGGGACAACTTCGGTGATGGTGTACTGCTGCAGGAGAGCTTGTACAGCAGACACACAGACACTCTCTCCTTCACATGTACTTGCACACAACCGAACAAATCTGGTCCAAAGTGTGTAACCACCTAAACATCACATTCATGTGATAAAGCCTGGCTCACAGTAAGGATGTCAATTCATCCCAGTAGCATTTGTTTGGGTCAAGGTCAGGGCTCTGTGCAGGCCAGTCAAGGGTAACACCTTATCTTATAGGTTGTCATTTCTTAGGAGGTTTCTTTAGAAAGAACTAATTACGGTATAGAGAAAATAAAAAAATGGTATTATTGAGCTTGAGTAATTATGTAGACTTTACTTACATATATACTCTTTTTCTATATTAAAGTGTGGCCTCATGGTCTTATACAAGTCTAAGCATACTGTGTATGCGTTTCATAAATTCTCACTATATGCACATAAACCAACTCCTGTGTACACTGTAATTCATGGCATGGCAAGTAACTGATTATGGTAAGCAGCTGTTTGTTCCAGTGATATTTGGGAAATCAATGCTCTATTTAGCTCCATTAACACTTTCTTATTTAAATCATTTATGCTGAATTGTAGACACAAATGTTGCATGTTCAGCAGACCTGTTGGACACCGATTGTGAGATTCCCAAGGTTACACAACTAATACGCTTTCTTCACAGCAGCCATTTTAACCTGTCATAGTAGGACAAAGTGTTACAAATAATGTGAAAGAGGGCTCTGTTTTATACAAGTAACCCAATAAGCTACTGAATGTAGGTGGGGAGGACAAAATATAAAGACGCCGCTAAAAATAATGTGGTCCAGTACAACACCACCTTTAACTATGACCTAAATAATAAACATATAACTGAATGTATATATTTATGACAATTTCACCAAAAACTGAAACATTTTGAGCTTCATAAACACAGATGTTAAGGTGGAAGTGTTGCATTGAATTGCATACACTGGTACAGGTGTACCTAATAGAGTGGCCAGTGAGTGTATAGTGTACTTGTGCAGCCTCCAGTGGCTTTAAGCTGAACTACATTTGTTCCTTTACCACACAGCAGGCAAATGCACACGAAGCCAAATACCAGTGGTGTCTATAATATATTGTATATATCCTTCACATAGGCATTTTAGATAATATAGACATTAATGCTCTTATGCTGCATTTAAAAAAGGAAATGAGATTTATAGCTTGGCTTGTGTTTAGGAATCAAACATTTAAACACATACATAAACATATAAGGCTGTATTAACACTTTCTCTGTGTCACATATGCATCCAGAAACGCAAACTCATACACACACACACACACAAGTGCAGCATGTGGGCGATATCCCCAGTGCTGTGAAACATCTTGCATCCCACATGCTTATATAACTCCCTCCCCACCTCCTCCAGTTGATCACTCATCACTTTATCACTTTATCCTCCGCTGGGAAGTAAAAACACCCATTTTCTCGTCTCTCTCTCTCTCATTGAAATCAGCCAGGCGGGTGTCCTCTGCAATCGAGCATGATTTCGTTACATTATGAGCACCTAAGGAGCACATCACTCTGATGAGATCAGGCTGCAGTAAATCTTATCTCTAGTGAAGATTTTATGTTGGTAGAAACTAAATCATAAACCCGCACTACTTGTGACAACACAGGAGCTCAAATGGCAAACATTGCTGCCATCCACCATTACTGATATTTATAGGAGGAGAGATTCAATCAAAGGAAAGCAGCCGCAAACTATCTACTTGCTATTTATTACCACAAACCACAAACAAGTGCGTCAAGACAAAGAACTGTTACACACTTTTCTTTCTGTTTGTATTCTCACAGTAATGAGAAAAAACGCCTGATGAGCATTCTGCACAGTGTGACCTCAATGTCCTCCCCACAGAGAAAATGTTCATCAACTTCAGCCTTGTTTCAGACAAAAAGACACAGGACAAATCTTCTTGAAGGGGTGTTGAGTGTTATACTGACTAAAAGACAACAACACTGCAGTGTCCTTCAGAACATGTATCCATCAGTGCCCAACATTAAAGCTAAAAGCTAAACTGGTGGAGGGAAGCTCTGTGTGTGAGGGGCAGTTTATCCTGTCACACAAATGTCCTTAAAATAGGAGATAACATAATGTTGAGAAAAGAGGGAGTACTGCATTTGTTTCAAAATGGTATTACTCCAATAAAACAGGTTATTTCACACTTAAGCAACTGTGTCCTGTTTGTAGATACTGTATCTCTCCCTTTCTCATTTTAAAAGTGACTTTATTCTATATTTTTTTATTGCAATCCAATTCCACAAGAACAGCAAAACCAGCCATGCAAAAATGAAACGCTTTCCTGTTTCCATGCACTGCCCATTTATCCCTTTCAAATACGAAGATATGAATCTATACCAACTGCTCAGCTGGTCAATGTAGTTTTAGAAAATATTATGGCAAACTGGCTCAAAATAAAAGACAATGCCAAGTTCACCATAATGAGCAATCACCCACTGCAATGGTGTGACTCACTGATGCCTTCTTAATAGTGTTTGAACAACAAGGAGCTCTATGGCACAGAGAAACAAGATGCATCAGGCTGTGACTGCACAGACAATACCTGACACTATGGATCGATTTGTTGTTGGATTTGTGAACAAAAAGAAAAATAAAGAACATTGCCTGACTTACCCTATACAACACATATTTTCTGAGAAGGGCCTGGGAGGACTGAGTAGAAAACAGGTTTGAGACTCACATTGATGAGCTCGATCTCCCAGATCTTCTTGACCAGTTCCATGGATGTGTAACCGTTGATGAGGAAAGCCTTGGTGTAGTCGCCAAGCTCCAACGACTCTAGCCACTCTGCCACTGACGTGGGGTTGTTGCCATCATAACCAACAGGTCGCACCTTTGTCACAAAGAAGATGGAGAAAGAGCAGGTGATAAGTGATCACATGACATTAGATTGCTGCAATGCAATTTGTTCCTTTTCTTCCTTCATTCTGCTGCAACAGCCTCAATTGTACGTGAGGAGTATTAAAGATTTATATTAATGATTTATTCTAAAAACCTTTTCGGAATGGAGCAAATTTATTAGGAAAAAGGTGCCACAGTTACAGGAACTACTCAAGATGAAGATCAACATAATCTAGATAAAGATCATGTGAGTTTTTATTTTGCAGTGCAAACACACTAATACAAACCTAACTATTGAGTAAGGGCAGAATAGGACAGCAACAGCCGAGGGTTTTTCCTCGGTGAGACAATTTTTGAGTGTAGCTTATGGTACACAATTCATTCACTTTTCAGAGAGTTTGCTGTGCTTTATACAAATACCCCACATAGCCTCCGCATTGAATTGCACATGATTTCATATCTATGTCTGTGCATGTGTGTGTGAGGGCAGACAAAAGCTAAAGGCTTCATTTTTAAAAAGTTTAGTGGGGATGAGAGGAGGAAAGTGCTGACTGGAGATCAAGGCTTTCTGAGGGACTGTATGAAACCTGCTTATCACTCAGCTCAGTCTTCCCTTTCTTGTCTGTCCCCTCTTTTGCAGACTCACCCGCACACCTTTGATCTAACTTTCAGTCTCTCTCACACACAAAAGCGCTTGACCTTGCTAACACAGTCTGCACAAACTTTCCAGAGTCTGTTCTTGATATTATTACAGTACTGATTATTCTGATCTTTTTATTTTAACAACGAATTTGCAGAAATTGACGCCTTTATGGCCTACAGCATCTGCACCATATGACAGCTCACAGTGCGTCTCTGCAGGATGTGATGTGGCCATAAGGCTGTAGTGAGGAAGCTTAGTGCATCTTTCTCTGAACCCCCTAACCCAATGTCCTGTTCATCAGAACATGCAGAGAGAAACCCAGCCACCCACGGAGTGAGTTATATCACATGGAAACACAGATGGAGCAGGAGAGTTGCTTAATTCTACACTAACCACAGCAGACTGGCTAAAGCCACAAGTAAAGAGGAGCTCTCTCACTGTGGAAATTTAGACTTGAACAGTTGCATTTTTATGAAAGATTGTAGCATTGCATTAAACACACATTAGGAAGCTCATATTTGGCAACTGTCTGCCATGAGCTGTGTGAATTGCTTCTGTTGGACAGTTTGATTAGCTGCAGTACTGACCCTGGGCAGCAGCCGGATGGCCTGTAGGAGACGTTGTCTGTGGGCCGAGTTGAGAATCCCAATCTCCAGCAGGTCCTGGTCCTCCACCACATTGCTGCCCTGCATAGTAACAAAGCAGCAGTCAAGGTTAATACTCTGTCTACAGCTGTGACTAACAATGCTCAGCTCAACATAAGAACTTTTGTAGCAGTCCCATAACAGTCACACTTCTGAAATGCAATATGCTAACAGTAGCAGCTGGCATTTAGACTTTTTCCTGAGGTCCTTAACTACAAATTAAGTAAAAGGGGGGGGCATGGCGCCCATTGTTTTCCATGCATTTCACTATAGTATGACAATCTGTTTACAGGTAAAAACATATTTGATAAACTACCATAAAAGATGTGTAATAAATTGCTTTGTTTTACCTGTTTAGATATAAATAATGTGTGTATTAAGATATAAACATGCACTTATAGGTGGATCTGAATGTATTTATATGGTGATGCATTTTGTATTTATGAGAAACATGTAGTGTGAATATATTGTATTATGGTATGATGTTTAAATGTGATAAGAGTAGGCACAATAAGTATTGGCTTCAGCCTACTCCTTTTTGGTCAGTATTGTTGTCCTGAACATAACACTGTGTAGTTATAGTTGACAAAAATGTCCTGTGCAATATGCAATATGTACATGGTCTGAATATGGATGAACATGGTTGTTTTATTCTGTGTGTTTGTTTTAAAGACCCAAATAAACAAACTTTTGTTTTTTTTAAATCCATTTCACTGTATAAAGTTTTTCCAAAGTTTAATCATTTTAATGTAGTGATGCTGTTTGAATGCAGATGTGAAAAGTCTGTATTGCATTATTCCAACTTAACAATAATCTAACGTTAATTAAAACACAAGTTTCCAAGAATGTGCTAATATACAAATCATAACTGCTTAAAACAGTGGGAAAAGATTTAAATGACTAAAACACTGCATCACTGGTTCAATTTTTTTTTCAGCTGATTAGGTGTGATGTAAAGTACAGTATATACTTTAAAAGTAATAGTAAAACATGCAAAGCCACTTTCATGACCTTGTTTTATGTAAACACGCCTTTTAAATTTACTGCTACATTCTGGGAGAAGGCTGTTTGATTGGTACAATACCAATAAAACTCTCCTGGCACACCTAATGTCTGGAGGAAGGTTGTTCCACAGTCTTGGAGCCACCACTGCAAAAGCCCGATCCCCACCATGTTTTAGTCTAGACTTGGGTAGGAGCGACTAAAAACAGCTGATTAGATGACCTTAACCTCTAGAGTCCTGAGCTTTGGAAACCCAAGCTGTGCGGTCCTCATATGAGGACGCAGGGACTCTAGAGGTTAAAGATCTTCCAGGTGTATGAACATAAAGAATTCTGAGATGTACAAAGGAGCCAAACCATGCAGTGGTTTAAAAACAAATAATAGTAGCTTAAAAATAATCCTATGAACGAATGGGAAGCCAATGGAGTGAAGCCATCAGAATCCCAGCCGGCAGTCGGGCGAAGGCGGGGTAGACCCTGGACAGGTTGCCAATCCATCGCAGGGCTAACACATAGACGAAACAACCACAATTCACACACACTCCTATGGGCAATTTAGAGACACCAATCAACCTAAGCTGCATGTCTTTGGACTGTGGGAGGAAGCCGGAGTACCTGGAGAGAACCCACGCAAGCACGAGCAGAACATGCAAACGCCACACAGAAAGGTCCCAGGTGGGGCCCGAACCCGGAACCTTCTCGCTGTGAGGCAACGGCGCTAATATCTTTATTTAGTCAATTTTGTCTACATGCCCTATCCAGAGGTTCTCCAACTGTCGTATTTGTTTGCCCCTTAAATCTCGCGCCCATGGGAGGAAATGCATTAGTCAAAATATTGTGAATTTATGAAATATTCATAAAAAGACAAATAATGAAATGAATACCAGCACAATGCTGTCTTGTTAAGTGGCCAGAACATTTGGGAACAAAATATAGTAACAATGTGCTGCATCTTCCTGTATTTTTGTGCAGCTTGTTACCCAGCACCAACAACATCAATGTGACTGAGCCCCCTGACGATTGCCTGGAATATTCCTAACACAACCTCGTAAGCAAACACACACTAAGTGTATTCATAGATTCACTCAGTAGTTATGTACCTTTCAAAGCCTGTTTAATCAACATTGAATTTGTTTGACTTCATAATACCCTGGTCATAATTTGGTGCAACAACATACTCATTACTACACCAGCACCAACAAAGGCATTGTACCTGTAAACATGCTAACTGTGCTAACTACCGAACAGGCCTTAGCATAGCAGCTCTAGTCAATTATATTAACAATGAGGCAACAGTAAAAATGAGTAAAAATATCAGTGAACATGAAGACAGCATTAGTCCAGCATTAATCTAGAACTATGGAGTTGGGAGAGCAAAATTTCTCCAGTTTCAACAGTTAAAATCCGTAATTAAATCAAAAATCAGTATAATCAACAACCCATTACAATCTTCCATGCTAACTGAGGAAATAATGAAGCTTACAAACTTAAAGAAGACAATATCTGAATTTTACAAGCTAATGTCAAATACAAATAGAACAATACCATTACCAATGACTAAAAGGGAAAAGGATTTGCACCCCCCCCGACTTCTGGACCGAGATCTGTAATAATGTAATAATATCTTCTCCATGACTACCAATATAAACTCACAGCTCATACAATATAAGACTATTCACAGGACTCGCATCATACAAGTTAAAATGTTTAAAATTGGTTTCACTGATACAGATGCAGTACTTGTTCACAATGTACTCTGGGTTGCACTGGTGATTACTTCCATGCTACTTGGACCTGTCAACCTGTTTACTCCCTCTGGGTAGCGGTGACAGAGAATCTCTCCACCATCTTGAGCTGTAAAATCCCTCCATCTCCATCGCTCTACTGGCTCCATAATATCACCACCTACCAATTAAATATAAAAACCCACTTCTTATCTCTCTAACTATCGCCAAGAAAACAATCTTTCTAAATTGAAAATCTAAAACCTCATTACACATCAACCACTGGACCAACCTTCTTATAGAATATATCACACTAGAGAAAATACCATCCATCCATACCAACCTTTACTGACACTTGGAATCCATTTCTAATCTCTTTTAATTTAAACCAGATACCTGAGGCCGAAGCCACACACATTCCCACAAACTCCTAGAAATATAACAAGCTGCTTTTTACTTCATTATGGTTACTGTTGTTGTTAGTCCTCATTGTCCATGCTACTGTCTTGAGTATGTCACACCTATCAATCAAACCAGATTAACAGAGAATAGAACCTACCCCCCTCCCTTTCTTTCTTTTTTCCCTTTCCTCTGGGAGCTGTTTAGGAGGGAAACACACCACACATTGGGTCAGGTCTCTCCTGTCAAGGTCAGGGGCCGACCCCAAGCTGTTTCAGTCCCAACAACCAACTATTAACATAAAGGAATACAAACAGTAAAACAAAAGCAAGGTTTAATTTAACCATAACACAAGGACGCTGCTGTCCTGCTTCCCTGGATGACCTCACCCTGCTAAGCTGCTCCGGAGCTCCCCGAGTGTTGCCCTCATCCAGTGCTTCTTGGCGGGAGGGAATCACTAGTACACTCCTGTTCCTTTACTGATTTAACCTCCGCCCCCCTTTTTTTACATTTACCTCCCCCCTGAATTTCTTAATTTATTTGTTTTAATTTTTCTTTAATATGTAAAGAATATCAGTCTGCATAGAGTTGGATACAACCACAGTACACACTTTCACACACACACACACACACACACACACACACACACACACACACACACACACACTTTAATTTAATAATCCCTTTGTCTCTTAATGTTTGTTGTCTCATCTTCTATATACTTTGTCCTGTAAATGTGTTATTTCATGTTACAATATAAAAAAAAAAAAGACAGCAAGCCTGATACTCACACAGCTGCCTGTATGAGTATCATATAGTTTTACTTTTAGCTTTTTCAGTGAGAAACCTTAAGACACCTACATCGTCATGCAGACATAATTAGAGGGAAGCTGGAATGCATGAAGTGCTGGAAAGAGGTGCAGAGGGTGTGGGAGCCACTGCAGCACAGAGAAAGGCAAACTCAGCCAGTACCATTAAAAATATATCTTGTGACAGAAGTGAAACATAAGGCATGGTAATCACCACAATGATGGTTAAGAATACTGAAGGAGGAGAGGAACAATGTGCCCAGCCTGGAGGCAGTTGCAGGACCATACTATAGGTGTGAGGACACTCAGTCATAATGCATTTCCTAACCCTTTGTAATGGTTAAGCTCAACCATTACAACTAAATGATTAACCTAATCATAACATTGACACTAAAACCAAGTCTTAACCCTCAAAGGCCATTTGAAGTTGTGAGGACCAGCCAAAATGTCCACACAACCATTGTATCAAACTAAAATGGGCCGACACCACCACAAAAAGACATGTACACACGCGTGTACACACACACACACACACACACACACACACACACACACACACAGGTGCAGGATTGAAGGATTACTCCTGTCAGCCCCTTACATCTCCTTCATGTCAAACTAATAATAGTGATGAATGTCCAAGCAAGAGATGAGGAAAAAGGAATCAGGTGGGTACCAGATAGCTGCTTTTTTCCTCCCTCTACTTCACTTCTGTCCTAAAGTTGACTCTGGGGATTGCTGTGTCCTCAAAAGGGAAATTTCGCTCCCAGGCTGCAACATTTTACTTCTAGAAGGTAGGAGTTATTTAGTTTTTACTGCAGTTTCCTGAGAACCATTCACTCCACATACTTGGATTAATACACCATAGTAACATATTCATATATTATAACATTTAGGGGAAAATTTGAAGCACAATTTCTGAAATATGCATCTGTCATTCACAATAAAGGCAGCTTGATTACAATTCTGTTGAATAAAATTCTTCAAGTAATGTAAAACACTTTTTGATGGCAAACCAAATCTGAACCACACACAAACACAGACTAATGGTTAGTGTCAGAAAAGCAGTCAAAAACAATAGCAATCTGTATAAAAAAAGAAGCCAGGCTATG